CGCAGTATTGGCACTGTGTTGTGATTGATGAATTGAATGGTTTTCGGATTGATGCATGACAGCTTGATTGTGACTAGGACAACCTATAATGATGACTGAGACGTGCAGTAGAGTTTTGTAGGGGTTCAGTCTTTCAACTGTTTGCTTACCAACTGTGACTTGGATTGATCACTTGTTCTTGACAGTCGTTTCTGCACCTAGTTTAGGGAATCAGAATGTGAGATAGAGCATATAGGTAGCCATGTGAGATTTGAGCCTGCTCGTTTCTTTCTTGTGCGATAGATCCCTCTTCCATGATGTGTAGCATTCATGTTGTCATTAGCTAAGATGATGGAGGCATAGGATTAGCCCACGACCAAATTGACTGTCCTGATGTGTCATATCCCCTAGTCAGCCCTTTTAGCCGTGTGTTATCCTTTCTTTCGGTCTACAATGGAAAATCACCCTTTTGCATCTTTTAGAAGGTTCCACAGAGTGGTTTTTACATGTTCTCTGCTGTTTCTGCTAAATTTAATGTGAGGGTTGGAGGTAGTGCTTAAAAGTTGGGCATGTGTTTGATAAATGTGCAGAGGTGGTGGTTCTCTTAAGAAATGAAAAAGAAAATGAAAGAAAAACAAAGGAAAAAAATGAAAGCAAAAGAGAGCCACTACAAAAAATCTAAATAGTGCCCATTAAGTAGCGTTTCTTAGCAGTCTGGCTTGGAAATGCTGATATTTATATAACCTCCTTTGCTCTTGTGCTCTAGCAAATTTGAGTAATGCAGAATGGCAGAAAGAAAGTAAGTGGTTGGATTGACTGTGATTGTGTGGGTTTGGAATCGTGGAACCTTGTGCTATGAATACTTCCACCACCTAAAAGGCCTTTTCCCCATGTCCAAAACCCTAGCCAGTCATTTGAACCTGTGTCTAAGACCTCCGGATTAGCTAGTGGTGACACCCCATATGTGAACTCTAGCATTTAGAGGCGGCCGTCATGGTGAAGAGATGTTAGAGATTGAGAGAATAAGCATGCGCATTTTTCGCATCAAATTGTCCTAACCCCACTGGTCGAGAGTGAGCGATTCATTTTCTCTATACTCTTGTACCCCGGTGAGGACCTAGATTGCTCGGTCTCTATTATGATATCTTGAGTTTTGTGCATGAGGTGACTGTCTAGAGTAAGTGGTTGAGTCAAGTCTAGGTTGGTTGGTGAACAGAAGGGAGACTCTTCCTTTACTCGATTTTGCTGCACTCAAATGTCTTCTGTGGTGGTTGTCCAGGTTGCTTAAAAGTTGTTCATGTGTTGATGTTGAAAGCCAGTACGATTCCCGTGTTCTGTGCCTATATGATTTGTCCCCAATGTTGGTATGATTGAAAATGTGAGCTTACCTTGTGTCTGACTTGGTTTGCTTGGGGACAAGCAAACGGTTAAGTGTGGGGGAGGTTGATAGACCGTTAATTGCACATATTTTTACCCCTATTCTTACACCATTTGAGATGTTAATTCTCGTGTTTTAGGCCGATTTCACGCCAGGTTGTTCTTGTTTGTGATATTTCAGGTCCTAGTACGTGAATGAAGGCTTGGGAGCGAGTTTGTGGTCGATTGGACAAAGATCGGACGTGTAGTGAGGCGTTGAGGAGGCCACACGGGCACTCCTAAATTCCACACGGCCGTGCAAGTCACCCATGTGGCCGTGTGGGATTTAGCGAGGCCTCACACGGGCATGATGGAAATTCCACACGGCCGTGTGTCCCTGGCCGTGTGGGAAGCCTGAATTCCAATTATTCGAGACGCAGCGTTTTGGAACTCATACAGGCATCTGGGTAAGCCACACGGCCGTGTGGCCTGCCCGTGTGATCGGGAAATCTGGGTTTTTAGCCAATTCCGAGCCAAAAGTGAGAGAATCGACTTTTTGGAGCAAAAACAGAGCCCTAGAGAGAGAAAGTGAGAAGAACTCATCCTAAGAGTGGTTTTGGAGCTGGGTTTCATCAAATCAAGCTTGGAGATCATCATAGGAGTGAAAATCATCATCCCAGAGCAGATTCTTCCCATTGTTATGAGTATGACTGCTTTGTATCCTGTTTTCCCCTCTCTCTCTATGGAGTAGAACTTTCTCTCACTTGGGTATGAAGAACCCTAGTTCCATGTGTTAGGGATCTTGATTGTAATGACTTGGGATTGTTATACTGCTTGATTATAATCGAATGATGCATGATTCATTGAATTAATTGAAGTCTGATCAACTTTTCTTGATTTCTGCTGCAACCTGAGATAGATAGAATCTGATTAGGTTGTTAGAGCTTCATCATTCGGTAATAGTGGATTGGTTATACGAGAGTTAGTCAATCTATTGTTTTGTACTGGAATCCAATTCCAGTAGTGGAGTTCTGTGTTCATAGCCTCAGCTTTCTATCCTGGTGAAGACTAGTCGTCTGCTGGGTAGTTTGACTGAGAGGGCTTGGTCAGTTTAAGAGATTCCAAGCTACTGTCGGATCTTCCGCAGTTTAATCAACAGGAAATCAACCCAGGGTAATTACAATTGAGACCTAACTAAGGAGCTAGGGGGAATCATTCCCGAGTGACTCTTCCTTTGCTTTAGAAAATCGAACCATTTCCTGCTTTCTTACTGCTTTTAGTTAAAACAACAATCACTCGACTTAGTTTGCTAGATAATAGATAATCATGGAGTAGGCAGTAGATCTAGACCCCGGGTTGACATTAGAACTTGCTACTTTACTGCATTCCCGGACTGCGATTATACTTGGTCGTAGTTTGGTGTTGTGTTTTAGCGTGTCAACTAGTTTATGAGAATAAAGGCAAGACAAAACACAACCACTCAGACTGGGTAAGAGTTAGGGGAACAGTTGTCAGCCCCATGGTTTCAAAAAGAAGAAAAGAAAAACAAAACACACTAATTATCCAATTCGATACACAAAAACAAAGACACAAAACATAACACATGGAGCCCGTGGTTAAAGGGCACGCTCAATCCTCCTCGTCAGCAACACGAGTGTGCGAAGGATGCCAGAAGGTCAGGATGGTGTCTGTAGACACCACATTTTGTCCGGGATAATCGTTTTGTTGAAATTAATTATTGTAATGTCGTACTACGACTATATTTAAAAAGGAAGTTTGAAATAATTTGGTTGAAACTAGCAATGGCAAGTCAATAAGTACCAATAATTTCCAAATTTCCTTTACTCCTTAGCAATTGCGGGTCAATAAGCACCAATAATACCAAGTTCACTCATATTTGATACTTAGATCAGATTAGTTTATTTTATTCTTGGATTGGCAGTAGCTAAAATTGTTTAGAGCTAATGTTTTTGTTATGGTGATAAAGGTTTTGACGTTGGGGATTTACACAGAGGTTAAACGAGGGAAAGTTTGACCAATTAAGATAAGAGCATACAAATCTAATGATGAATCTCTACATCATAATACATGCCCAAGAGTTACATTCTCAAACTCAAAATAAAATCATAATTGCAAATTCCCAAAACAAAGTTTACAATGTGTACAAAAAATAAGAAATGGGCGGAGGTCAAAAGCAAAGTTGGAGGATCTGCAAAAAGAAGGAAAATCCGTTAGTTTCAGCCCAACTTAAAGGACATACTAAAATTTGACCTAATGAGAGCCCAATTCTTTCTCACCCATTCTTAATCAGGTCCTTGGTCTGTTTCCCATCTCAAAGGGCGGCGGAAATTTACCCAAGGGGCAGCAGCAGAAGCTACAACCAACCCCTAAAAACAGAGTAGAGCTATAGAGGGCGGCCACCTCTCAAGAAGACCAACAAAACACAGCCAACACACAGAAAGGAACAGCTAAAAAGCCTGTTATATAAGATAGCCTTACCAATTACCATAAGGAGGGGGGAGGGGGGAGTTCTGGATTCCAGAAAAAGGAGGAAGATATCACAAAAGAAAACAACAAAGTTGATAGGAGAAGGGAAGCTGATCGATAATAGGAGATAAAGCAAAGACAGTAAACCCCATATTGAAGAAAAGAAGAGATTCAGAAGGGAACTTCAAGAACAAAGGCACAAACAACAAAGAGGCAACAACAAATCAGATTTCATCAAACACCAACCACTAAGAGGCCATACCAGGTTGGTATTTCTTCAACCAAAACCAAAGTTACAAGCATATGTCACCCATATATACATAATCATTCAGCCTAATACATCTAAAAACATAGTAGAAAACAAGAATAGACATGCTTTTATGCTAGAACTGTATGTAACTTGATGATTGAAGCCATTTTTATGATAAGAACTATATGTATATGAATGATTGAAGCTAACTGCGGCAACTAGTTTCCTATCGCTTTCACTCGAAACTCTAAATCTTGTTACAAATTTGCTAATCTAAAACTCAACAAAACCAAACCAGTCTGTTGCTTGCATATAAGAAAGTCAGATCCGACATATTTATGCCCATTTAATGACATTTACTTGTGTTAGATCCGATTTATCTATGTTCTTTACTGCAAACATGTGCTAGATCTGACTTTACTATACTTTTGAATACATGTTTCTGCTCAAAGTAATCAAAACATTATAAGAAACCGGTTATGACAAGCTCAATCAAGATCTATAGTCCCTATGTAATCATAGTAGTGGCTATGACTAGGTTATTGCAAGACCCTTTCGATGAAAAACATAACAAAAGCCCCTAGTTGTTTAGTATACCATAGGTGAAATAGAGAGACTACCTCAAACTACCAAGTAAAAACCAATAAACGAAATTAATGCAGAAATTCAATCAAAAATAGCAAATCCTAGTCCGATAAAAATGGCAAACAGTGGCAGAGATTTATGGAAGCAAAAGTAGCTACTCTGGTTCATTACCCAAAAATCCCAAATCAAGCCATCAAATAGCAAGAGAGAAAGTTTGATTCTGTTAAAGATCGCAAGCAGTAGCAGCGATCATTAGGCTTTTTCAATCAAATATATAAGTCCCAGATCAAAACCTGTAACAACAAAAATAAAAAAAAAAGATACCGAAACCAAAACTCTGCCGCCGGCAGCTCCCATTTCTCTTTTCAGTGGAGACCAGAACAAAAACAAAACAAAATAAACAATTGGGGTAAGATCCCAATCGAAAGGGTTATCAATAAAAATAAAAATGCATATTAAAGAGAAGGCTTACCAGAGGGCAGAGGGTAAGATCTTCTCACCATCATCGCGGCCCCAACCAGAAAGGCAGATCGAGAACCCATCTCGGCTCTGGGTTGGTTTCCTGGAAATAAAACACAATAAATAGGGGTCAGAATTTCGAAAAACCCTAAAATCAGAGCCGAAAATAGAAGAAATCACATGAATAAAGAGGTAAAAAAACCTCAAAACCCCAACTTTGTCGTCGTGTTCACCATCGGCGGCGACGCATGTCACCATCGTCGCCGGCGATGCATGTCTCCCCGTCGCCCTTTCTCCTTCTCTTCCCGCCGGGATTGAGTGCCCAGAGAAACCAAACAAAGGATCTGTTTCGTTGGCGAAACTCGTGTGTTCAATGCGCACTGTTTTCAAGTAAACACACAAAACACAACGTTAATCACAACCGTCAAATATCAGTCGCCAAAGTCGGCGCCGTTGATTTGATCGATCGAACAGAAAACAAAGAATATCGTCAAATATCCGCCGCCGGTGTCGGCGTCGTTGATTTGATCGATACACCCTTGACTTCTAATCAAACAACCGTTATTCGGTTCACCACCTCTCCAAACTACGTTCGAACGAGGGTGTTCGACGAATAACCAGAAAATCGAACCAGGAGTGTTCTAAGTTAAGTTACCTCTACTCCTATGGAGAGCTCCGCTTCCAGCCTTGAGGTGTCGTTTTCTTTCCCAACCAGCTCCGTTTATTTAACTCTCCGCGATACCGCTTGTCTCCATGCGGTACCGATTTTCCCCTTCCAACAAGGAATACAAATATTAATTAATTATAAACAAAACTCCTTCCCCAACACCTACACTGCGCGGCCCCTCTCCAGTTCCGCGGTACCGCCGAGCTTCCTCGCGGCACCGATTTTCTTTTTCGCGGTACCGTTTTAACTCCCCGCGGTGCCGCTTCTCACAAGGAATAAAACATAATAATTAAACAATTAAAACTCCTCCTCCAACCCCATTAAACACACGGCCCTCTTCTCTCTTTATTTTTATTTTTATTTTTATTTTCGGCAAGCGGTGTCGTTTCCAGCGTTGCGGTACCGTTGAGATTCCTTGCGGTACCGTTTTAGTCCTCCGCGACACTGCTCGACTACCAACGACACCGTTTTTTACCCACGGTATCGACTTAAATGTCGAGACTAATTAATGTGGCATTTAATTCGGCCAAATTAATTTTAGGTGTTAACAAATGCCCCCACAATTTGGTTTATAAGAATTATGAACCAAATTGTTGACACAATACAAATCACCTAAAAGTATTTTTATCAATTCGACATCAAGTCTACCAAGAATGGCAGAAGTTCCTTGGCCGTAATTGCTATTGCCAATAATGCAAAATAAATTGGACGTGGACTCATTATTATTGCTTTGCCTTCCTTTTACTTTTGAACAAAGAAGCCATTACCCAGCAATCACCTTCTACGACTCCAATTTGAATTATTAGCCAAGTAGAACTCCTTTTTAATCGATTCACCCACCTAAGCAAAGTTGCGGCCGTACTGAGCATAAAATTACGGCAACATTGCGAACCCCAGTGCTGTTGAAGGCCAACATTGATGCTTCGTCATGATCATATATTTAATTTGGCCTGCAAAGACACTTTGTTAAAACGACAACGTCCTCATTTATGCAGCCTTGCTTCTTTTTTTTTTTTAGTTGTTGCTCTCCCCCGCCAGCGCTGCTCTGCATGCATTTAATTTTTTTTTTCAGGGCTGTTGGGAACAGGCGCAGGGTTGGGACTTGGGAGTCTCTTTTTTTTTTTTTTTTTTTTTATTCCGCCAGTGCTGTTGGGAGACAGCGGCAGTGCTGCAATTTTTTTTTTCCCTCTTTTTCGCCAGAGCTGTTTGGGAGACAGCGGCAGTGCTGCAAAAATTTTTTTTATTTTTTTTTTATTTTCCTCTTTTGCCAGGGCTGCATGACTGCTTCTATTAATTTTTTTTTCTTCTTCAGGGCTGTTAGCGGCAGGGCTGAGAGCTTTTTTCCTTTTTTTTTCTTTTTTTTTCCAGCGCTGCAAGCATTATATAATAACATTTTTTTTATTTACGCCTTGCAACCAGCTCTGATTTCCTTCTCACTCGTGTTCAACAGCCCTGCTAAACTGTTTTTTTTTCTAAAACAACTCTGATTTTCTTCTTTTCCTCTAACATTGCGGCAAGCTTTCCATAAACGCTTGGACTCTTTTTTTTCTTTTTCATCGTTGTTTTCTTCTTTCTCAATGACGTTTCCTCCTGCAACACTGCAGCCAATTGTAACAACGTTGCTTTGGCCCAAACAACTCTATCTATATCGATGCAAGTTTCCGGCATTGAGGCCAAAACACTATTGTTCACAACAAGAACCATAATTGGTCTTTAATCCATTCTTATTTAACCATCATCGATAAAGCAAAGAAGTAAAACAGAAGTTCTACTTTGTCGACGTAATGGTTAGTTAAACAACATAGTGACCTGCCCAAATTTTACCAATTCTGGTCAAAAGAAAAATCACATACATAGCGTGACAAACCCCCCACTAAACTCCAACGGCCATGATCATGTTGGTACAACGCCGTTAGCGTCTATGTTGCTCAGTACTTCACTTATTTGACAATCTGAGATAAAAATCAATAAATTGTCTAGCTAGCAAGACTGCAACACGCACATGCAGTATTTCATGACATTCACACATAAAACAATCTTTGAAGCCAATCAGAAGCAGAGTTAACTCGTACCTGTTAGATTCATTCAAGATGGCACTATGAAAGTTGAACGTGGATCCTCCTTCGCGCCAGGGTTGATTTCTTCCACAATGTCGGCAACACTGCTTCCTTTCTCACTTCTTTACTCGAATCGTCGCCGTCGATCAGCAACCCCTCCAGCAAGGCCGTAATTTCGGCCTTCACAACCCTCTCTTGAGGTGGCTTACTCAAATTTTGGTGGACCACCTAACGCAAGCATTGATGGTCTCACAATCTCGGACAACGAGTTCAAGCATGCCTTACCCAACACCTTTGTGCTTGAAACTGCGACGTTGCATGGTCCCCCTTCCATACTCCTGATTTTTTGAGGACCAAGGTTTTTGTGGTACAAAAGAGCTTCGACAATGTTGCCCCCCACAACATTGACCATATTGACGCCCACACCGTTGGGAAACGGGTCAGTGTCAACAATCATGGCCTCCTTCCTCGGCTCCGGTATCTTGAACCGACCTTTTTCAATAGCATCCTGCACCACGTTTCGAAACACTACACACATATTAGTTGAGTGAGACACATTGTTGTGCCACTTACAGTATCGTTTCCCTTTTAATTTTTCAGCTGGCGGGATAGTATGCCCCCCAATCAACTTAATTTGACCATCTTTGTAAAGCTGGTCGAAAATCAGTTCTGATTTTGAAACATCGAAGGAATATTTCCTAGTTTGAATCGGAGCACGATTGGGCTTTCCACCTTGTGGTTCCCCCTCGGCCTTGGCTAGAGAAGCACACACATATGGCTTCCCCTGCACAATCTCGGCCAGATCAACTTCAACCTCGTCGACATCGCTGCCAACGTTATTCACACCATATTTTTCAAAATTAGGGAAATATTGTCCGCGAGAGCCACTTCTCTTATGTTCTTCTTAATGGAGAAGAGATTCATATCTAACAGCGCAGGACATCAATTGAAACAAATCAGAAAACTCCCTATCTTGAAACTTTTTACGAAGTTCAAAATTCAATCCACCCTGGGCCAGTTTAACAAACTCGCGTTCTGTCAAGTTCACAAAACAGTGATTTCTTGCATTTTAAAGTTTGTTAAAAAGTGTTCCACTGTTTCTCCTGGCTGTTGGCGCATTCGTGCCAAGTCTGCCATTGTTACTTCTGGCTCAGAATGGTAGAACTGGGCATGGAACATTTGTTCCATTTGCTGCCAAGTTTGAACCGAGTTTGATGGCAAATTGACGTACCACGCGAATGCGGGACCGGTCAACGAGTTGCCAAACAAACGCAACTTCAAGAAATCACTCACATCACCACACTGAACCGTGAATCGTCCAACATGCTCGACGGTGGACTGATCCCCAGTCCCGCTGAAGGTGATGAAATCAGGCACGCGAAAACCACGTGGAAATGGGTAGTATCTATCAACCCAATCCAGATATGGTTTTCGATAGACCGGCGGCATCGCTGGTATAATCCCTAAACCAAACTGATCCGCCAGCATCTGTGCTACTTGATCTCGAATCGCATTAACGTCTTGCCCCCCGAGTTGCCCCCCTTGTGGTACGAATCCACATGGATCCATGCCAAGCCCGTTTGGAAGAGGAGGGACGTTTTGTGGGTAGCCGCGTGGTGGAACATGATCATTGTTGATCGTTCCTCCACCAACAGTACCGCTCATCGGAGCCACGTAGGGTCTGGCCTCCGGGATATTTTGTGGACTCACATTGTGCACTGGTGGCGGCTCAACACGAGTGTTAGCCGCAGTACTGGTCTCGCCAAGATTTACTCTCGACGGACTTGTTGGGTTCAACACCGGTGTCGGCGAAACGCCCTGTCTCGTCTGAGTATCTCGGCCGCCATTGACCGGAAAGGTGCCAGTGTCGTAGTGTAACGGATTCTTGCCGCTTAACGGCAAAGCCCTTGTTTGCGGCACTGGCCTATTCAAAAACTCTCTAAAGTCATTAAAATCACGTATGTTACTTTCAAAATCCATTCCGTTTTTATCTACGACTTCAACCAGTTGGCTAACACGTCTATCAATCCGAGAACTAAGACCATCAAGACGTCCATCCAAAGAGGCTAAGTGAAGTTTTACCTGTTGGTTATCAGCCATGACTTGGCGAAGCATGCGTGTCATCTCACGCTGGTTGGCAGTTTGCGCCACTGCTGGCACTTCCCCTCCGGCGTCGTTGCTCGAACTGCCGTTTGAACCGCCACTCTGGTCAGTCTCTACATTGACCATTGGCTCTTCCTCCACTGAAGTTGGTGGAAGATCGCCCTCGTGATTCTTCCGTCGCGGAGCCATTCGAACACACGTGTCCCACCAGGTGTGCCAATTTGTTTCGTTGGCGAAACTCGCGTGTTCAATGCGCACTGTTTTCAAGCAAACACATAAAACACCACGTTAATCACAACCATCAAATATCCGCCGCCGAAGTCGGCGTCGTTGATTTGATCGATCGAACAGAAACAAAGACGACCGTCAAATATCCGCCGCCGAAATCGGCGTCATTGATTTGATCGATGCACCCTTGACTTCTAATCAAACAACTGTTATTCGGTTCAACACCTCTCCAAACTACGTTCGA